AATTGTCAAACTGGTCGAAAAAAAGACCCAGCTGCATACTGTCTGCAAAATATCCATTTTAAATATTAGTGACAGAGAGGTACCATCCAAACTAATCATCAGACTTTTTAAAGCAAAAATTATAACAACATATTACGGGGTTTATGATGTACGTAGAAAAGGCAAAAATCATCTAAAAATAACAGAAACCAATCAGTAGTTGCCAGAGGTCAGGGTGGAGTTGACTGTAAAGGGGCACAGGGAACCTTTTGGGGTAATATAAATGTTTCATATCTTGACTGTGGTGTGGGTATATGGATGTATATGTCAAAGTCACTAAACTATATATTCAAAATGACTGCAATAAAATTGATTTTTTAAATGAATAAAATTGATTTTAAAAAGTAAAGCTAAACAGTAGATGAAATTTCTCTTCAGATATTCTGAACTTGCCAGCAGTTTAATCAGAGGGAAATACAGCCCATTATGTTGGTCTTTTCTAAGTGCTGACCTGAAGACCTGACTTTTAGATTGGTTTCTGAATCAGCAGATCTGAGGTACAACCAAAAAAGGTTTTTCTTTTTGTTTTTAAATGCACAGCCAGGCTTGGGAGCTATTTAGTTATATAACTCTCATTGTTTTTATTATAGGAAGCAAATCCCATTTAGATTGTACATAAGCAATGTTATTATCCTGAAATCTCATGTGCACTATTTTTGGTCAAAATATATACCAGCAGTTCCTTGGTCTACACTCTCCTGAAGGGCAGAGGTGGGTCTTACTGATGCTTCTCTCCACAGACCTACTATCATATCTGGCACATGCTAAGGCGTCAGTGAACATTTGTTGAGTGAGTATTTTTGAATGCCCATAGATCCTCTCAGAATGAAAAATATCATTCACAAATGTATTCATTAATAGTGAAATGTATTTATTCTGAAGTGTATGCCATTGAGTGGGAAAAGATGGAGGCTCCTCCTCAGGCCAAATTCATGCTTCTCCAGGTGCACGTTTGCCCATCTATTTAGTGGAAATATTCGTTCACCAACATTTGTTCAACAGATATCATTTCTAGTCCATACCAGGCACTATTCTAGATACAGGAGTGAACACAACAGATCACATCTCTGCATTCATGGAGCTTTCCTTCGAAACGGGAGGACTGAGAGGGACATGTGTACATGTACAAATATAGGGTGTCAATGGTGCCAAGTGTTACGAGGAGCGCTGAAACAGGGAAGAGGGAAAGAGAATATCAGAGGTGGGAAGGTATTGCTGTTCATAGTGGGTGGTTGAGGAAGGCTTCTCTTAAAAGGGTAACATTTGAGCAGAAACCTAAAAACAAATAAAGGAGCAGCAGGCCATGCATGTATATATGGGTGCAGAGTGTTCCAGTTATATGGAACCACAAAGCAGGGAGCATGCCTGGCAAGTAGGCCAGTGAGATGAAACAGAGTGGGCAGGGAGAGGAGTAGGAAGGATGAGAGTACAGAGGTAGTAGGGGGGCAGTTCAGAGAAGGCCTTAGAAACCTTCATGAGGGCTGCAGTTTGCATTGAGTTGGGAGGCCCTTGGAGGTTTTAGGCAGAGAAATGACGTGGTTTGACTTAGGTTTTAAAGAGGGCACTTTAGCTGCTGTGTTCAAGACAGACTCTAGTAGAGCAAGTGTAAAAATAGGGAGACCAGTTCAGTGGCCTTGTCAGTGAATGAGTACATACAGACTGGCAAATATGCCCCCTCATAAACATTGAATTGGTTTTGTCATTCTACTTACTGGACTTTTGAAATTATTTTCTTTTTACTAGTATTTTACCCAAATACAGCCTAAATTTATTGCAGTAGCACAGAAATTATTTTCTGAACATAACAAAATATAACACTTTACATTGCTTGGTTGATTGCCAGTGGATAATAATATATTTATAGAGTGTTTGACAGTTTAAAAGCTATTTTACATTCATTATCTCATCTAATCCCCACAATTTTTAAAGATTGATATGGTAACTTTTATTATCTCCCTACAGAGGTGAAAACTAAAATGTCGCATGCCTAGTCCAAAGTCATATGCCAAATTTGTGGCAGGGCCCAAAAGACTAAAATCCAAGTCTTCTGTCTTCTAGCCTGAATCCACTGATTTTGTTTAAAGGGGTCTTTTATGTTCAAATGGTGTTGCTGGGTTTGGAACACTTATATTAGCAAATTTAGTATATTGTTTAGAAAGCCATCTACCAGTGAGCAAAGATAATATGCTCCAACAGATTACATACAAAAATGTATAAGGCATATTCCTACCCTGTGAACTTATTACTTGGTGATACCTGTAACGGTAAATGTGGTAATTACTAGTAAAAAAATGTCACATGCTCAGTTCCAAATGGTACAGACAGTAAATGCTTTAGCAGTTCAAAGGAAGCAGCGATTTTGATGGCCTGAGTAGGTACGGCAACAGGGAGATGGGGTACTTGAGTTGAAGGATGAGCAGGATTCAGTCAAAAAATATCAAGGAAGGGTTTTTAAACTCAGGTGGTTTGGGGTCAGGGACACGCCATGAACAAAGGCTTAGTAATGGGGTATTTTGGATTTGTTTCTTTTGAGACAATGACTAAAACAGTCTAGTTGGAATACAAAGGTTGTTTTGAGGATGGCTGTATGTCTACTGCTTTCATACGCAAAGTATTCCTGAAAGCTAGGCTGAAAGGTGAATGTGCAAAGTCATGCAGTAGGATTACATGTAAGTAAAAAAAGATGTTGGAGAGCTGAAAATGCCATAAAGTTCTTATTTACACCTTGCCTTTTAGAATATAATCTAGAAATTTTGTTGTTTTATTCTTTCTCTGTTGATCCACCTAAGTCAAATACGTGTCTGATTAAAGCTAAGGATTTGTTCATTTTACCATACCTTGTGATTTCCATGTAGCTCCTTCTTCCAGGAGCTCAGAATATTTGTTCTTTATCTATCTCCATCTGATGTATGGCTTAAGAATGGTTTAAGGGTATCAGTATATAAAAGAGAAGATTGTCCAAAAGAAAAATATTCAAAGCTGAGGGCTTATAATGAGAATTAGGTTTGGAAAATAAGACCAGGCTTTGTAGAGCCTAACATTTCTGTCAGTTCGGCACACGTTTATTGAGTGTCTACTGTGGCTGTCTATGATGTATATTTTTTGTGTAAACTATTGAGGCATATTTGAAAGCACAACCCTATTCTTAAGAAGTTCACACCAGGGTTGGCGAGAGATGTCAGGGAATATTTTACTTCCTCCTCAAGGAGAGAAGTGACAGAGTGAAAGTATATTTAATATGATGGTGGTATAAGGTTTATATTGAAATTGGGGAAAACTGGAGTCAGAGAGACCAGTTGGTTGAAAAAGCTTACACCTGCCTGGGCATACTGACCTGTATTCAAAGAGAAAGCCCCCCTAAAGGAAGTATATAGTGTGTTTTACCTGAAAGGGCATGCTACAGAGACGTGGTCTACAGCTAACCCCTGATCACAACAGTATCATCAACAAAATAATACTATGTGTTCGTGGTTTCCATTAACTTATTCTCATCTGTTAACAAATACTTACTAAGCATATACCATATGCCTGGCATTCTTCAGGGACTGGAATACAGTAGTCAATAAAAGAGACAAAGTCCCTGCCTTCGTGGAGTTTACATTCTAGCATCTGTCAGGCAACACCAAATGAGCACATGTATGAGAAAATGCCTGTCATGTTGCCTGTCATATGGTTGGAGGGACGGAGTGAGATTAACTCATATTTTTTTTAGATGTTACATAAAAATTATGAGTCTTTAGTTTGGGGGTAATTAAGGTTATATGCTGTATTAAATATAACAAGTTGTCTGTTCTTGACCTCTTTCGCCACTGAAGATGAAGCATTGGGGGCTTCCCTCGTGGCGCGGTGGTTGGGAGTCCGCCTGCCGATGCAGGGGACGCGGGTTCGTGCCCCGGTCCGGGAGGATCCCACATGCCGCGGAGCGGCTGGGCCGCTGAGCCTGCGCGTCCGGAGCCTGTGCTCCGCGACGGGAGAGGCCACGACAGTGATAGGCCCACGTACCACAAAAAAAAAAAAAAAAAAAAAAATTTTGGTTTGGTGTCCGGAGCCTGTGCTCCGCAACGGGAGAGGCCACAACAGGGAGGGGCCCGCGTACCGCAAAAAAAAAAAAAAAAAAAAGATGAAGCATTGAAGCAGGTGCTGTTCTGTACCATCAAAAGCGGTGTGCTCTTATCCTGCTTGGATGGTTTTTGTGGGCTCCTTGAATTCCTGAAAAGGCCCATTGTTTTCACTGACGATGCTTCGCAGAAACGCTTTGTGTCATTATTTAGCGGACTGCCTTGGCAAAAGCTGTGCCAGTTCTTTTGTTAACTCTAACAACAGTCGAAATGATGTAAGGGAAGAGAAGGATAAATGAAACAAAGACGGATAAGTGCACGCATGCACACACATTTGCACATCTTTTAGATCAGTTTCTGAGGATTATCTGAAGTAGCACATAAAACCAGGAAATAGCAGAACTGCATTCATGTTCTCGTTGTTTCAACCAGATATCACCTGTTACCAGCAAACATAGGAATGATTTTTTTCCTTGCTGGCTTCCCTTTGGCCTTACTGCTCCTTAGGTGGGAGGAGCAGTTTCACTTTGAGAGCAGAACTAAGAACTAAGCCTTTCTGTACAAATTCTTTGCAGGAAGGTTACATTTTATTATCCACTTTTCCTGAAAGCTGGAGTAGGATATTGGGTGTAGTTGGAAGCCAAGATTTTATTTGACTTTCACGTGAAGTAAATAAACCCTTGCTTCTATAGAAACCAGAAATGGTTGAAAGTGAGGGAGTTAGGACCTTACATTTTGCCTCCAGGTAAAATGCTTTGCGTTAAATTTGTGGTTAGAATTCTAGGTTGAACAGATGATGTCAGTTCTGCAATATGGTATGGTGTGCATGTGTGCTTTTTTTTAGAACAAGCACTGTAGATATGGAATTAGTGACATGGATTTTTCTGGTCCCTTTTTAGATGTGAAGCCCTCTAATATGCTAGTAAACACAAGAGGACAAGTCAAGCTGTGTGATTTTGGAGTTAGCACTCAGGTAGGTCTCATTTTC